TTATTATTATTTTTTTATTTAATGCGTTCGAGTTTCCTCTTAAAATTTGAACGCGGATCAGGGAGAAAAATATATTATCTACACGCCTAGCTCCTCCAAATCGATTAATTATTTCAAATGCGCACGGTAAAATAAAATATAAACGAAAACAATGATGATGAAAAAATAACGTGTTTACGCGTCGAATAAAATACCTATAATAATAATATGTCAACAATAGAAAAATTATACAACGTAATTTATGATCGAAAAAGGTCACGGACGAAGGAAAGGTCCAGTGGATGCGTCGCAAAACCTCTCAGCTCCAAACTTATATGTATACATATATAGTCACACATATATGTATTTTTTAATTTTTTTTTTTTTTATAAGATACGTGTTGTCATTAATCACGATCCCAAAATATTGTTTTGTTACATCTGTACAACAGTGTGCATGTTTAATAATATTATTTATACTGGTGTACGACTAGTCGTATTTTATAGCGCGCGTTGACGAAATCACAGTTATACTGAAATATCGAGAAAGAAATTGTTACACGTATTCCAGTATTCTAATTCGATGGCCTTCCATATAACTAAGTCGTAGAATTTCGTGGCGAGAACAAGTCGATGTTTTTTAATACTCGAAACATGTTATTACTGTCAAAGCTGGGTGATTTTTTAAAATTATTTGAAGTTAAAATATCCCCCCCCCAAAAAAAAAAAAAAATAAATAAATAAAATGAATAACTGAGCTGAGTTAAAGTTAATTTTATAATAAATTAAGTAACGAGTAACTAAGTTTAGTTACAAATTTCAGGTCGAGTTAGTCACTTTTATAAATTTATCACTTTTTAAATGCAATGAATCACGTAAATCTTCGAAAAATAAATGCATAAACATAGGTAAATTGTTTTTTTTTTTGTTCCAAAAATTCGTAAATAACTTTAATTTTAACAAACTAACGAATTTTGATTTAAAATTATTCATTGAAATCAATGAAGTAATTAACTATTTAACGACACCAATATTTAGTGTGTTATTAGTAAAAAGTATTACTATTATTACTATTTTTGATATCTAATCAAATGTTCCATTTTAATAGACGGAATCACAATCACAATTTCCGCCGAAATGTAACATGTCAAGTTCACGTACATTTATTTTTAGATTGTAAGTCAGTGACCTAACCTGTTGAGATAAAAAATAGCTTGGATATAGGTTTACTGATTCCATTATATTATTAATTCGTTGCGGTAGAATATTGATGAAAATAAAAATAATGCACATTTGGAATATCGCAAGCGAGTACGGAATCGCTATTTGCCGGTGTCGTTAAACAACCGATTTAATAAAGTATAATTCCATTTGGAGCGGGGCTAGTGTGACGGTAGGTAGCTTGAACCGGGAAGGAGGTTGTAGGGATTTCGAGAGTTTGCATACAAATACCTACTAAATATTGGCGTCGCTAAATTTTAAATTTATCGCGTAAATTTCCCTATGGGACGGGTTAGCGTGACGCAGTTCCGGCTCCACCCATTTAAAAATTGATTTATTATTTATTACAGTATAAAAAAAAAAAATTTTAGTTTAGTAATAGTTTAATTTTTAGTTTGACGCGCTAAAAGCGCGAAAACCTGAAAATGATTATAATTCTGCGAGTTCTGCGTGAATTCGTTTTTTGGATGCGATGATTCGTCGTTAATTTCAGTACCTATTTAAACAAAATGGCGCTTATATCACATTGTTAGTGTATATGTACCTCCTTCTCGCCTAAAACATTGCCCAACCCATTTTTTAAAATATTATTATAATTATATTATATTTCGTAGTGATTCGATAATAGACTCCGGCATAGGTTTTTTGTGTAAAGTTTCATTAAATGAATACCTTTATTTTAAAATGCATCGTTAAATAACTGTAGATACCTTCGTTTTGTGAACTTTACGAACCGCATTAAATAATGTTATATAATAATCAATTATACAGACTTGTTAACTTAAATGATTTTGTGATCTATTGTACAGAATGATTCACTAAGTGTGCTCAGTTCATGTTTTAGTTAAATTTTGCATATATTCTAATAAAATAATAATAATAAATATTCAACTTCTGATTTTTGGAATTTTTTAGTGTAGTTAAAGCCGATATTTTCGAATACTTAGATTTGTCACAATTTTTAAAGAGTATCCTGTGACGATAATAACTTTGGTTTTTTAAATGAGAACCTAAATTAAAAATTCCAGAAACAGACGCAGTATTACATTGAATACATTTTGGTGTCAACATTTTTGATTTCCGTCAACCCGTTAACGAGAAATTCTACTTTTAAGTTTAGGTAGGGGGAGAGTAACGGAGTATAATTTGTGTGGCGGCACGGCACGCAGTGTTTTATTAGTGCTAACTAACTACACTTAAGAATTTCAGAAATTAGAATTTAAATACATGTAAATTTTAATCAAAAAAAATGGGTTGAGCATGCTTAGTGATATAAATATATTCATTTTGAACTAAATATTGTTTTTTTAAAAATAAATTACACTAATGTTATCGTGAAAATGAACGTAAATGATGATTTTTTTTGAACTATCTAAATTTTTTTATTTTTTTTTAAATCTTTTTTATTATATGACGACGAACATTAAACGAAACTATACCTATATTAGCGAGTGATATCGGTAATGTGCAAACTGCGTTATTATGACGTACGTATACTAACAGATGTTGTAGGCCATCGTGATTTAGTAAATATTATCGAGTAAATGCAGAGTAATGCATTTTGAGCGGATCGAGGAAGCCATTAGTTTTACGAATTACGTATTTTCACTTTGTTGTTATTACAATATAGGAAAACGGCTTTCGAGTAGTAGTCAAGAGATTTATTTAGGATGTTTTGCCAACGACTTGCCGACATGTACAGAAATACAAGAAACTAATAGTAAAGTTAACAAAATGACTAGGTAATATTATCCGTATAGGTATAAATGTTTTGGAAACAAAAAAATAATTTTCTTTAAAAACATCCAGTTAATTACGTTTAAATAATCATTTTAGGAAGACGAATAAGTTCAAATAGCGTATTGCTCAGTGCTCATTAATCGTTCGATTAACAACATTATAGTAGTAACTAGTGGATACTTTATTGGTTAGGTAACTAAAAATGAATGATCATTATTATTCCTGACAGTACGACAAAAAATGTAGTTGGATTTACTGTAAAATATTATTGCAAACAATTTACGATAATTTTTTCCACTAACATCGTTTTATCGTAGTTAGCTACAGTTTTTAAGTAGTAAGAATGCGTTTTATGAAATTACTCTGATAAAACTGCGACGTTTAGTAATGAATTAAAAATTGACTGAACAAATTGCACATATTGTAGCGTTACATGTAGCGTAATCAATATTGATATATTCAATGTGTGTAGGATGAATTTTTTAATATTTTATTTAGTATGTTAATTTATATAATAGTCGTATTTTAACATAATTAGAATCTGCGCATATATTTTGTTTTATAATAATATATTACTAAATTATAAAAAAAAATATAAATAATTGCAAAATTAGAAAACAAAATAAAACGCAGTAAGTCTAATATAATATGCTATTTTATTTTGTTTTTTCATTAATAATAGAAAAAAAAATCTGTCATTTATGTGAATCCTTAAGAAAAATACTTACTTTTTCGTTTCATATTAAAAAATATTTTTAAGTATCCCGGCGTATTGACTCATCGAACAGTCTATACATTTTATATATTCAAAAGAATAAATACATTTTCTTTATTGCCATTTTTCATGTTTTGATGTCATATTATAGCTTATTTTTAGATTTTTTAAGTCATATTATAGTATATATTACAGTTTTTTCAGTGCTATAAAATCCAAGCCTTGGTTATAATTATTGAAATAAATAAAATACGTAATAAAATTTAATGGTTTTAATGGTATAAGATGATATAAACGGGTTTTTAACATATTTTGGCTATTTTGAGTTATTTATTGTTGTTTAAAATTGTCGAGAATTTTGTCCGTTTATGTGATTCGGTTACATACATTTTTTGCTTCGGCGGACTGAAAGTGTTCTGTTGTGACATTATTTTTATAATTTTCGTACCGAAAATATCTGAACACCGAATTTCGGGGATGGTGGATTTCAAAGGAAGCGAAACCCAACCTTAACTGTTGGGGAGTGGGAACGCTCGACAGTGGAAGAGCATTTATGCTGGGGTGTCCGGGAATTGGGCCACAATGAACCTTTTTTTAAAAGGTATACAGTAATTGGGCCACTAAAATTTTACTTTTATAGCAGGTAGGCCCGGCGATTGGGTCACTATTTTGAACGGTTAGGTTATTATTGAATCCGGTAATGAGGCCACTGTATTTTAATATATTTTAGACTTAACAAAAGGAAAACCACCATTCAACACTATTTTTTCCACGACTACAAATTTAAATTTCATATGTTCGTTATAATTGATTTATGTTGACGGCACTTTTGAATACTGTGCTAAGCAATCTGCATCACATTATTTAAAAAAAATAATTATTATTATTTGACTAATTTTACATTAGGTATATATTTTAATATATTTTGAATTGTATACATTTGTAGCCCGATTCCCGGGCAATAAAATGTACAAAAATATTATTTACGAAGCAGGTAGATGTTGTCCAATTCCCGACCGCCCGTGTACTGTACTATAGTCGTCGTTCGCAGACGGCACGGTGTTCTATTTATACCTTTATGTGCGTATATTTGCCGAAAATTTATATGAATATAAAATTAATAACTCGATTGGTAATCTAAGTACATAAAAAACAATCGATATTTTGTTAGTGACGTCATGAAATCAATATCATTCAAATTTCCAACTTTTCCGGTAGATTTCCAAAAATGTTCTTTCATACAAACCTTTATTTGTATTTATCATCCATATGTTGTCATGAAAACATGTGACAGCAGAACTGAACGTTAATAATTATGGAATTGTTTTTGTTGGTTAACGGGTTGCCTTGGTGATACGAATGAAATTTTGAAAAAGTATTGAGGTTTTCATTCGAAAAATACCATTGAAATTTACAAATTTTCCGGTGGATTTTTCAAAAATTTTCTTTTTTAAAAACCTTGTCATAAAAATTACGAACGCAATGAAAAAAAAAAAAAAAAAATCAGCCAAATCGGTCTATCAGTTTTCAAGTAAGACGTCACCGAAAAAATTTCTATTCATTTTTATATACATGTATTATATAGATTAAACTATTATAGTCTTTTAATGTCAACCCTTTGTTAATTAATTTTTTTGCTATTGTTAGATAATAGTGTAAATAATAGTAATAATAATAATGACAATAATAGGTTTCTCGTCCGTGACAATCAAATTATCATTCATGTCATCGATGTAACCACTTGTAAATCAACAAATGAAATTTAATTAATAGTCCAAAAATACCAAAAACCCCCCCGTCCCGCTAACTGTTCCGTCTAGCGTTTTCCGGGCCAATGTTTTTATTATTTCATCCGTATCACCAAGGTAACGCGTGGTTCAGCAAAAATAAATAATAAAATAAAGTAAAAACGAAATTATTAAAATGGTAAATGAATAAACTATTAGATATCCGTAGCCGAAATATTTAAAAACTCCTATTTTACCCCTTTAAGGGTTGAATGTTAGAAAACGTCCTTTCTTAGCGGACGCCTACGTCATCTAGCTATCTATGTACCAAATTTCAGTTCGATCCGTGCAGTAGTTTGAGCTGTACGATGATGATTCAGTCGGGCCAAGTTATTTTATATAGATAGATAGAAGCATTGTTATATGATTTTTTTTTTATATTGTTTTATGGAATTCATGAGCATATGCGTTAAAACAAGAAAAATCGTAAATTGTATGCCCCTAAAACTCGTTCACCCGCTGTTGACTACTTTGCCGGCAACGCGTCTGCTATACCGATGATAAAACCCATGACTTATACGTAAGAAAAAAAAAATCTTGATGTTAGATGAAATGTATTATCTATCTTTATTGCTTTTTTTTTTCAAACATAATTCAGTTTGACGTTAAAATATGCGAAAGACGAAAAGAGTCAACTTGGTAACTGCAAATAATATTATAAGTGCTGCTTAGTCACTGGGATTTACCGACCTCTCGGTTCTTAATTAATACGTAGGTACCCCGACCTAACCATTTAAAAACAATGAATGGAAAGAATTTAAATATTCTGTAGAATTTCGTATAGGTATGACATTCCATTTATCTGTTTTGAAAACAAACACGGCATAAGATACTGTTAACACAGACAATGAAAAAGAAATAAAAAATGAAAACAAATGTTGTTGTTTTGGTGGTGCAACGTATAATTAGAAACGTGTCTGTGGTACACGCGTTTTATAGTGATTTTTTTTTCTTCACGAATTTATTGTTTTTATGAGTACACGTTTTTTCCAATTACGATAATAAAACGTTATATACACATTTAATTTATTCACCTACTAAAAAACTGCGCCTCTTGAGCGCCATAATCCGATAAATAAATTTTTGATTTCTATATTGTAATATTCGAGTTCTGAGATTTACTATATGGAAAAACAATGCAGTTACACTAAAAAATGTCATGCACGTATTTTCAAAAAACAAACTGGTATATTTCGGACGATGGACGGGTCACTGTTGTAGGTGAGAAGTCGGGAAGATAGAGAGAAATTTAATGTATATCTGTACGTAACGATAAACCATTATCTAATAAACGAAAAACGATTCGATTATATGTTTTGAAAGGCCGTAATATTTGAAATTCGAAAATAATACATTTCGTAAATTTTCTTTTTTTTCCCCCGGTTTTCCCACATTTATTATGAAAATCCTTGGGAAAAATCAAAAAATTAAGAAAAGTTGTTCACAGAAAAAAAACTTAAAAATAAAAAACCAATATTATAAAACCAATACATTCCTCGCTCCGCTTAGAATCTAAAAAATGTAGGTATTTAAAGTTAAACGCGTAATATTATTCGAAATAAAGAATCTTCGCGAGTATAATATCGTGTCATAATTGAAACAGTTAAAAACTAACTGTACGGTTCAAAATCAAGTTTGACAAGAAAACGAGAATACTTATATGTTTGTCGCACAACTATTGTTATTTAGCGTACCTTATCTATTTCTTATTGTTTAAGTGGAACGCGTATGATGGTATTAAAATTTTGATAGTAAAAAGAAACATGGTATTTTAGGTTGGTCGTTTTATTAATTAAGCTATAATATTAAAAATAGTATCTTAATTGTGTCGTATACTAAGCGCGTTTTAGCTATGTACTCGTACTATGATTGAAAAATGAACGAAGTTTGAATGTGAACTGCACGCGAGTACACAAAACGTTATAATATATACTCGTACGAATGAGAAAAATTCAGGGTTTAGTGATTTAATTCACAAATGATATGCAATTATAATATACAACGTATACAGTAGCGTAGTTATGACTTTGTTCTGAGTGGGGGAGGTGGGTAGATAAATTTTCAAACTCCGCAGTCCACGTGAGCGCCCTCAAACATCCTTCATACAGATCTACGTTTTGGTATATTTATATTAGGAGTGCAACGAGAGATCTAGTGGTTTTACAAGATAAATTATTTTTTAATTTTTTAATGGAGTACATTTTTTATTTTAAAAATTCATTATTCATTATTTTAAATTACATTTTTCGTCTTTAAATTATCAATTATATAATTCCAAAAAATTGCGCTTTTATTTGTTTGTTTTTTTTTTTCAAAACATGTCTTGGTAAGCGAAAAATTTTTTTACGCAATATCTTACATGGTGTGGAATTTTTGTCTGGTACTTTACCTGAACCGCTTTTTAAGTGTTCAACAGTTCACTCCTTAGGTCTTTATTTAGTTTTTTCTCGTAAAATACTTTTTCGTTTAGTAACAATAATGCTTTTAATTATTTTAATCGTACCTAAAAAAATTAAAAGATGCGGATTTTCGACCGATGGTACTTTATTTGAAACTATTTTTAGGTTTCCTACAGTTTTTTTTTTTGTTTTTAAAATTTAAATTCTAATAACAATTGTCGATACATTGGTTATATTCAGGGCTGTGAATTTAATGCACCAAAAAACTATTAAATATGCACTAAAAAATGTCAAAATATGCATGAAAATATGCACTAAAAAATATCAAAATATGCACTAAAAATATCAAAACGTGCATAAAAATATGCTATTAAAATTTCGTAAAATATGTACTAATTTTTCAAAAATATACAAAAAACAACAAAAAATATTTTTTTAAATACTAAATATAATTGTTAAAAATTTATGGGTATTACATGTTTATATAAATTTAAATTAATTGCGATCTTCATCATCGTCATTTACGGCATCTATATAAAAAAAATAAATATAAATATAAATATAAATTTAATATTTAATAAATTTACCTCTAAAGTAATTATTGCATTGTACGATTAATGATTTTTTGAGATTTTCAAACTTGAAAGACCTCCTGTTTGGTGCCAATATATTCTTATATAAAGAAAACGATCGTTCTACATCTGCGGATGTTATTGGTGCAAACTTAAAATACGCCATGTCGCTACTGGTTAAATCTTCTGGTATATCCAAATCACCTACATTCTCTTCTTCGCCAGTTAATATTTTTGAAATATTACAAACAATTTGAAATCCTTTGTTTTTGTTGAGAACTGTTTGTAATTTTTTATTAATATCAATTCCAGCGGTACCTGTTAATTGACTAAACTTTGATGAAATATCTTGTATGATTGCAATACCTTCAGATAAGGGTATACCTTGTTTTTGTAGACGCGTTATAGCTATGGGAAGACATGCAAAATTCGAATGTATAAAAGTCAAGTTTCCTTTCATTTGAGTAATTTTAAAATATTTTTGAGCATTTTTTATGGAAAGCGCATCATTCTCATCAAAACTTTCAATTATGTTTTTTACAGTTTGAAAGTTTTCACTATAATATAATACGGCAGAAATCCACGTACCCCAACGTGTCAGAATAGGTTCAGGAGGTAGTGATATATTCGGTGCATCAGTATGAAATTTTTGAACACGATAAGGCGCCTTTTTGAATACTCGTTTAACATTTGCTACCAGTTTATCAACTTTTGGAAATTGAATACGTATTTGTTCAGCGACTCTATGTAATCCATGGGAAGTACAAGTTACGTGAACCATTTTTGGATACAACACTTTTAATGTATCACCAGCCTTCACCATATAAGGCGCAGCATCACTTAAAAACAGCAATACATCGTTTCGTCTTATTCCGTCAGGCCATAATAAATAAAGTGAATTTTCAAATAGGGAACATATTGTACTATGATTTGTTTTCTGTAATTGTTCGAGGTTAAATAAAAAAATTTCACCTGGACGATCGAGGAGTAATGTACCGATAATAACTGAAGCAATAAAGCGGCCCTCGGCATCTGTTGTCTCATCTATTNTAAATGACGATTTAGATGACGAATCTTTTGAGATAATAAGTTGCTGAGTTTTTTTTTTGTTTTCTGTACGATTAACTCCTCTTTGGTGTTTTTCAGTGGCTATGTGTTGTGTTACAGAAAAACGTTTATCACTCGCAATTTTAATATTGCATACTGTACAAAATAAAATTTTACTGTCTGTTGTAAATATATTTCCAAATTCAGAAACGTAGTTTCTTAGACGGGTTGCAACCGATATTTTTTCTTTTGGCATTTTAAAATATACAGTACAACTAGAAATATAAATAAGGAGCTAGTAGGTACTGATTAGGCGCAATAAAATAATAAAATAAACAAAACAAAACTATAACACTCGAATTACGAACACACGCACATCACGGATCGGCGATCACATCGAACTAATAGAAATAGGTATTATTTTTACAATTGTTGTCCATCAGGCATCAAGTGCAAGTTAATATAGGTAAATATTATTTTCCATTTATTTATATTTATAGACCACAACAATACAATAATAATTATTAATTAATAATACTGATCTTGGACAATATTCGGCAAAATAAGAAAACAACTATTTATACCCGAATTTACGTGTAGTCAACCCAACTAAAAATAGAATAAAATGTTCAAAAATAATAAAATTTCTATAAAAGATAGTTAGATTATAAATACATTTTATATTATGTATTTTATATTTTAGACCAAATTGACCGAAAAAGTATAAATATTAAGAAAAAAGCATTAATACGAAAAAAGTATAAAAACATGCATTTATATGCCCTAACTAGTTAAATATGCAAAAATATGCACTATAAGATTTCGTATTTTAATTATTAGTAACACAATTCAAATTTTGGCCGAATCCATTTTCTTTTATGATGTAGCAAAAAAAACATGCAAATGCATTAAATTCACAGCCCTGGTTATATTTTTGTTGATTTTTAGTTGACATTGACTACAAGAGAAAATCACGACTAATACTGCTACGCAAGGAATTGATTTTTAGCACGATTTTAGTTTTTTACATTTTTTTATTTTATGATAGAATTTAATTTTATACTTTAAGTTATATCAATAGAGTTTTCCCAGATACAAATAATCCTCTGCAGTTTAGTAAAACTGTATGGGTAGTATAAAATATACACATTTTGATTTTCAGAGTATACCTTTATTCCAAAATATGATTAAATACATTAAACACAATTGATAACTAATAAGGGCTTACTAGTACCTTAAACCTGAAAGAGAGCACGGAGTTAAAAAGGTTGGGAAACATCACTCTAAAATGATATTAAATTTAATAATAGAATCTTTATTTCGTGAATACTAATATTATACCGAATTTACATTACTAACACAAAGATTTCGTACTGTTAAAACTGTTATATAAAGCTATCTACTGGACGCTTTTTATTGCCTATGTAATGTAATATGTACTTCTTTTGAAACGAGTACAACGAGGTCTTTAAAAAATATAAATGATATAAACAAATAACAACGTATGGATGTCAAAATTAACATTTTGTAATTAATATCTGTAATACTCGTTACAAGTCACGTGTGCTGTTGCATATGTACACGAAGTAATAAAAAACGCAAATTCTCACAATAAACTATGCGCATTCCATTAATAACAAATAATTGTTTGTATTATTTTCCATTAAGTTGATTTCGAATTTTCATACTATCCACTATCAATATATATTTTATTTATTACCGTTGTCCGTTTAAAATATTAGAAGTTTGTAGATTTAAGAGTAACTAGGATGTGGCAAATCATCAAATATTATTAGAAAAATTATTAAAAAATAATATAATATATTTACGAAACATTTTTACATTTACAAACAAAACTAATTTATCATAATAATAAAGCCCTATAATAGCCCCGAGCCCACGAATTATATGCATAATACCTACTTGAGCATAACTTGGGTACTGTTTATCTGTTGTTAAAATTGAATAGTTATTTTGAATATAAGTTTATAATTAGGGCTCGGATTTCAATGCGAAATGCATCTTTTTTTGAGTGATATTAGACAGTGTTTTCTAAGTACATAATTTGATTCATGTAACAGAGATTTCAAAGGTAAAACTTTCATTTGGTCTTTTTTTGCATATTTCGGTTATTTTTTCGTTTCATTGCATATTTGTACAACATACGAGTATAGTATAATATACTTAGTATTTTTATATAATAAAATTAAATATATTTGGTATATTTAATCTATGATACGACTTAATAATTTAAATTTAGCCAATTCAAAATATTGTCAGCAATGTTTTTCTGGTTTTTTTAATTCCTTGTTTAAGATATTATTAATTTTGTAAATAAATAAATTATCAACGTTAAATAATACAATAACTATGTTTACACTCAAATTTAAATTTAAGTGTTTCCTGATTCTGAATTATGATTAGAGTTCTATAAATGATACATAACTCCATAGGTTTTAAAATATAAACATAAGTAATATTTCATGTTTACATTCACTTTCATTAGGTATTTTAATTATTAATACCGAATCAATGATTTTTCTTTTATTAATTTAACTTATTAATTGAAGTTAAATTAAGTTAATGGTATATTTTAACTTAGATTTTAATTTAATTGATATATTAAAAATATCTATCAACTATAATTTTAAATTTAATTTAAAAAAAAGCTTTTCTAGGATAATAGGAATAGGTGCAGCCACTGTTGTAGGTGAGAAGTTAGGAAGGTAAGATATAGACGGAAATCGAATGTATATCTGTAAGCAACGCTTAACCATTGCCAACGTAGAAAAAGATTCTAAGCGGAATTCGCTTGATAGTTTTGCAATTTTTGGAATGAAAATCGAATTATTTTTGTCGATTTCTGAGTTGTCACTTAGTGACACGAATATCACATTATAATCTAAAAGCGTATTTTATCCATTTAAATTTTACACGATAAGTCTATAGACAAAAATATAGGAGAGCTCAGCCCGCCCTGAGCAGTTTCAAATCCTATATATAATATTTGAATTGATTTAGTCTTATTGTGTAAAACCGATTAGGCTTAAATTCTATATATTTTCAATATATATGCCAAATTATTTCTACTATCGTGTCTGTAAATAAATTACAAATTCGAAATATTTTTTAATAATTCGCAAGAATTCATTTGGTGTGATTTAATATACAGAGAGATCAACATAACATAAAACACTCATTATATCGGAAAGTATTTGCTATGTTCTAAAATATTTAAGAAATTATCAGCTCAAATATCGTATATAACTTTTTGTTACCCTTATTTTAGGGGTTGTCTATTATTGATTTTTAAATGGCAACATACATTTCAATTCCGTTAATAGATGGAATATTAGTTTGAATAAATATTGGTATTGAAATTTTCAATTTCCGTCAATCAGTTGACGAAGTATTTCACTTTTTAGTTTTCTGCGGGGAGGGAGAGTAATGGAGTATCATGTGTGGCGGCACGGCGTGCGGCGTTTTAATAGTGTTGTGTGTGATTTTAATTTTTTTATGTTTTGCGTCAGTGAATAACGTTTTTGACTTTTATAATTAATTTAACACGAGGTTCATCATAAGTTGTATTTACTTAGTGTTAAAAAAAAAACAATTTCTCGCAGCCACAGGCTACAGCTAATCTTATAGAGGTCAGATTTTTGTGATTTAACATATTCGTTTCTAGTGTATGCAATTAAATTGGAGTAAGATATCTTCAGGAACCATGAAACTTATAATTCGGAGAAAAAAATTAATTTTACATAAAAAAGCATATTTTAGGATTTAAAGAATATTCAATACATTAGGGAATATTTGAGATTTTGAGAATATTTTATAAATATTTTAATATTTGATCCTATTATTTATATGGGCGTATATTGGCATTTTGATAACTTTGATCAACAAATACAATTTATTTTACAAGAAAATTATGTTTATATCCTTCTGGGTTTCTAATAAAAATGAATCATTAGATATTTGTTATCGTTGACGATAGCACGTCAGAAATAATAAAATAATGTTAGCTGTCACGATTGCAAAATAAACAAAATAAAAATGTTGTAAATCAAATTAATAATACAATTTAATTTAAGCTGGAAACTCAAATTAAATTTTGTTTTTTTCAGAATATTAAAAGAATAACTTGCCATTTTAAGGACATAAAACATCATATATTTGGTATTTTAAAAGAATATTAAGAGAATATATTGCCTATTTTAAATGACATAAAAACATCATATTTTAAGGATTTTAAGAGAATATAAATCCGACCTCTAAAAAAAAAAAAGTTATAAAGTTATACACACACTATAAACAGTGCCGATTTAATCATAGTGATACTTATAGTACTTATAGTAGTCTGTTTTATATTTCGAAATCTGGACATTCGACCCTGAAAAGTATTTTTATAACCGTTTAAAGTTTAAATTACCGCGCAAAATTGTATTCGTTTTATACGAACTAAAGCGTAGGTAAATATACGAATAAATTGTTTAAGAAACTTATAATTACGGTTGTTTAATAATTGAGTATAACTTAAAGTTATGATCAAGGACTGTGTTGCCGATTTATTACTCTATTAAATGAATTTGATTATTTCTGTATCGTATATGTTTAACGAGCATTTAAAATGTTGAATAGAAAAATATGTCTTATATAATGAACCGATAATCTCGCTGTGGGTGTCGTTTTTCTAGTGATATTATTTTTATTGGTTATTAAATTGTATTGATACATAGTAATCAACGTGGTCCTTATACGGCCAAAGTATAAGTAAATTACAGGTAAGTATCTATTTGATCTACTATCTTAAATATTTTTTAGGATTTTCAAATATTTTTATTAAAAAAAGGAGGATGTTAAAAAAAGGGCCGATATTTAGGACGGGTATGCTACTGTTGTAGGTGGAAGGTTGGGAAGGTAGGATACATAATTTATATTTTTAACCAACAATAAATCACTGCTAATGAAAAACGATTTGAAGTGAAGTTCGGTTATACATGTTTTGAAAGGCCGTAATATTTACGATTTTTGTAAAAATTTGATTTTAAAATTCATATAAAAAAATTTTTACCACAAAAAATAATTGTAACGAACCTCATGTTAAAGTCTCAAGCATTCCTCTTAAATCTAATAGTTTTATTCACAGAGCACTGACCAAAAAAAAATTACGTAAAAACTCAAAAAATTAGAATGTTTATAAATAGCTTAAAAATGGATCAAATATTTTACAATTTTACCTCGTCTAGAAAAAGAAAATATCAGTTTTCTGTCAATTTTAAACTGAATTAAATACACCAAAAAAACAAAATTTAATATAATAAAATATTCATGATCGTGGATTTTTCCGTTTTTTCTTTGTTTTTTTTTTTTTTTTGGTTTTGTCTAATTATTAAAAACTATAGAGAAAATCAGTAAATGGATCTATTTCTTAAGCAACTAGATTCAAAATACAACAAAAATGTTCTCTAAGTATTTTTTGATTTAAGTAATATTTCTAGTAGAAAACATAGTTGGAAAACATTGAAATCGGTAACGACGCGGTGTGCCGTAAATACATATAGTTGAATTTCGTTTTCAGTTTTTCCCAATTATTTTGAAAACCCCTCGGAAAATTACTTCGCACTAACTATAGATAAAATTTGTTTTAAGAAAAGACGATACACTCGATACATCGGATAATCGGAGCAAGTTTTCTTTTCGAAAAATTGTTTACGGACAGAAAACAACACACGTGTATAGTAAAACCAATAGTACCTTCGCTCAGCTCGCAATCTAAAACTAACGGTGCATTTTTTATTATGTGGGTATAATATCACGGAACAGTCTTCTTCTTTTTCCGAGTTCATCCTGATTATTTAGCGTCTGCTGATAAATGCGCGAAATCGTATGCGTGTGTACTGTATAACATAAAATGTATCGAATATATTGTTTCAAATACATATATTTTATAAGTATAAAAAAAAGCGTACAGTAATCGTAAATTTAACCACATATAATAATAACTTTAAATAATTTTTTATTCAAGTAATTACTATAGGTGTGTGTACATAATTTATTATTTATCGCGCGTATATACAACACAATTAACGCGAATCAATGCTTCTTTTTAGTTTAAAAATATATTAGGTACGTATAAAATATAGCATAACTTAAAAATATTCGCATAAATTATTATTAGCGTTATCCGTTACAATGTTTAAAGATTATCGTTTAAAAACAATAAATAATTTTGTTATTTCATTAAATTTTCCGAGGTCTATAACAATATTGTACAATAATAAATAATAATATGGAAATTAACTTGCTACATTAAGCATATTATAATGTTTAATTATATTACAATAGCATATTACTTATTAAATGCAAGTCCAACAGGAATTATATGTTATATTATGAAATAACGTACTCGTATGTAAATAAATATGATATATAATAATCTATTATCGCGTAGAACGAGGAATACGAATAATTCGTAATCTATGGTCATGGCCGAGGCGGTGCATATTTTTATCTGTATATTAGTTATTGTAAACAAAAAAATTACGCGCGAACCGCTGTGAATCGTAAACACAATAATGAATTCGATAGAATCATCTAATAATAATAATAATAATTAGGTAGTATATTAATAACGACCGAGAATCGGACAATTCAAACGCAATATGATGGGTTTCGAAGATGTACAATGTTAGCCAAAATATATTGAATAGTATAGTAGGTATAGTAGGTAGCTATCATATTAATTCGGCGATTGATAAAACAAACCATACAGTCGATAAGAAATTATGGAAAGAAAAAATTGGTGTATACAGAGTCTTCTAAATTGTATGTTAAATGCCGAATTTTTCACGAAATTTACCTAAAAACTTTTTGGAATTATACATTCTAAAATGTAACATTTCAACACCCTCTTCAAGGTTTTAATACACCAATGTCTAACCTATATGATCTCCTACCCCCTCCCCACAAGAATTAAATATAACATAAAAAGAAATTAAACTAGATCTCACCCTTCACCCTAAATATCTAGGTGTTACCTAGTTACCTGCAGTTTGATATATCTCTCACATATAAAGAACATTGCGAAAACGTGAAAGCAAAAGTTAGTGCGAGAAACAGGATACTAAGGAAACTTACAGGACTAACCTGGGGGCAAAACGCTTACACACTCAGAGTGTCTACACTAGCGCTATGCTTCTCCGAAGGAGAATACGCAAGTCCTGTGTGGTGCAGATCATCTCACACAAAACAAGTTGGTGTGGCACTAAGTAAATCCTGCCGAATAGCAACTAGATGCCTAAAAAATACACCACTTCATAAAATCTTCCCGATAGTAAGAATCGCAACCCCCAAATACCCGGCGTACAATCTCTGCGAACTTAGAAAGGACTAAATTCAAAACAGACAGACGTCATTTTTACACTGCAAGGAATCAAATAGAACAAGATTAAAATCAAGGAATAGTTTTTGAAGAGTACAAATATCCTAGCAAAGCCCTCCGAGGAAGTCCGTATAGATAACTGGGAATTCGCCGTTACATTGAAAATGACCCGATCTAACCAGCAGAATACTTGTCAGCAAGTGGGATCTGCAGGAAGACATAAGATACGAGTGCGGAGACGAACAAACCGTGCCCCACCTATTGACATGTCCAAACTGCCCTATGTCATGTACTGTTACAGACCATGATACAGCGACCAAGGATGCAATCCAAATAGCCGAATATCGGTAGGACAAAGTATAATAAATTAATAACAAATTAGACTAAAATGTATAATAATACAACAATAATAATAATTTTTTCTATACCTGTTAACATCTTTCGTACGAGAAATCAGTAACTGCAATCAACTTTAGCATATTTTTGAAAAGGAAATTTCGTTTAGTTGTTGTAATGATAGGTAATTTTTTTTCTTATAGTTTTCTTAATAACTTCCGGAAACCGAAAAAACGTAGGAAAAATGGAAACGTGAAATTTCCCCAGAATACTTATATTAGTATATAATTCTAGATATCAACTAGATGTTACATTCTAAATACATTTAAAATAAACGTAAGACGGGTATACTTCGCACTTGGGTGGATCACTGTTGTAAATGAGAAGTTAGGAAGGAAGTAGAAAGGAAATTTAATGTATACCTGTAAGCATCGATAAACCATTGCTAACGAAAAAACGATTTTGAGCGGAGTTGACAGTGTTGCTTTGTCATTAATATATATTTATTTATTTATTTATTAATAAGGACAAAAGTCAAATTCACAATATATTTGTATAGATAACAATAAAATATAACTTATATAAATTATAAAGTTATATAATTTAAAATAATAAAATATAACATAATAAAAAATGAAAAGATTAATATATCAAATAATAGTAATAGTAATAATGATAATGATAATAATAATAATAATAATAATAAAAATACATTCAATGTTTAATAAAATAATAAACTATTTCCCGAAGACATTAAAATATTTATGGGGTCATATGACTTAAACTTTTTAGATAAATGAGGAATATAAAATAAATGATTGTTACGAGTGTGGTGGCTATTAACTTTGAAATATAATTGACTTAATATAAATGAATCATCAATCTCATTATTTAGCAATTTGGTGAGGAACGTACTGTATGGTAAGTGTCTCCGTGCATTTAAAGATTCTAAGTTTAACAGTTTTAAAATATTATCGTAGCCAGAGTGAGGAGTTCGTTGAATATTACATGTATGACATAANCTTAATATAAATGAATCATCAATCTCATTATTTAGTAATTTGGTGAGGAACGTACTGTATGATAAGTGTCTCCGTGCATTTAAAGATTCTAAGTTTAACAATTTTAAAATATTATCGTAGCCAGAGTGAGAAGTTCTTTGAATAATACATGTATGACATAAAAATCTGAGGGCCTTATTTTAAACTTTATCAAGTTGATCATTATGTCCTACATTGTTATGATTCCAAATTATTGGAGCGTATTCTAATAAAGAACGGACTAGTGAGGTATAAAGGCATTTGATAGCAAGTGGATCACGAAAATCGGAGCAGTTTCTTTTTATCACACCAAATACAGATAAAGCTTTATTTTTAATCGCTGATACATGATCATTGAATAATAGTTTGGAATCAAATAAAATCCCTAAATCTTTAAATAATGACGAACGATGTAGGTTAATGTCACATATATGATAATTAAAATGTAAGGGATTGTGCTTTTTGGAGTAGNACCAGAAATTACGTTTATTGGTGTCGATATAAAGTTTTTATATTTGACAAATTGGATTCTTTGACTTAGGAATGAGTTAAACCATGATAATAGGGGATTGGGCAAAGCCGATTTCCTGTAGTTTACTGATTAATAAAGAGTGCTTTACATAATATGTCACATTATGGTAAAATAATTACATAGACATTATATATTTTTTTTTTTTAATATTGTACCTGGTCTCCTTACGTTTTGCCCGGTTTTTCCTATTTATTGGGAAAACTCCTAGGATAATCAAAAAATGACGTCTTTAAAATACCTACCTCTCCAGTCAGATTTTCTTTGATAAAAGGTGCTAAACTTAAAAATCGGAGCAAGATTTCTGGTAGAAAAGTTATTCACAGAAAAAAAAAAAACATCTTTGTAAAACCATAAGCTTCTTCGATCCACTCAGAATCTGAAAATGGAGTATAGTTAAATAATTTTGCGTTTAAAGTTGAATTTTTTTTTGAAAACGGTAATGATCATTTTCATTTCAAATTATGTTCAATCGAACTTCTCTCTTTTTTCATTAACAATGATTTATCGTTGTGTGCAGGTAAAAATTTAAAAATTCCACGCAGATACCCTACCTTTCCAACTTTCCACCTATAACAGTGGCACACTCGTCAGTAGTATCAGCTCTTTTTATTTTAGCCGAAGATAAAGGAGGTATTTGATATATTATTATGTTAATATACGCATAATTACCATTTAGTTTTCCGACGGACATAAGATGTGGTACCGATAACGTTTGATGAACAAAGCCTGCAGGCACAAAATATAATATCTACCAAATGATTAGTACCCATTACTATATTCCATGTAACGTCCACGAAATTAATGACCGACAGCTAGTTGCAGGTCCCGCGAGAAAATTGACCGTCCATTATTCGATGTGATTTTTATTAGTCCCGCGTAGTCTTCAAAGTACCTACTATTTCGTTTTCGAAACCACAAGTGGCCAGAACCTCGCTACTTGATTATAATACGATGAGTCCTTTATACAGGTATTTTATGCTAATATGATTTTTTTGTATGCGATATTTTATTATTTTTTTGGCGAAACTCTCCTTACAATTGGCAATTGGCTACATCTCCTATGCAATTTATTATTACTAGGGTTGGGATTTATGAGTAAATGCACTTAAGTTTCATAAAAAAATGTTTAAAAACATCAAAAAATCAACTTAAGAAATATTTACAAGAGCAATAAAGGTAGAGAAAGGTGTTTGAAATTTTTCCCTTCTATTGTTTTTAAGAATAATTTTTAACACTAAAATGTTTATTTTAAAATAATTTGTTTTAAATAAATTTGTACGTGTTATAAAAAATAAAATGCTTTGTGTTAATCGTTTGTCATTGTTAAAATAATGTATTTAATGAGGTGAGGACCGTCAGAATGGGGACTTTAAATCTCTTGGTCTCTTTTGAAAACTCAATTTTACTTTTTTAAATATTTTTAAGTGCTTTTTCGAAGATTTATGCGCTTTTTTACGGAATTTAAGTACATATAAATCCCAGCCCTATTACCTACATTAACAGCATATCTATTGAAGATCGAATTTTTGGAACGGCAAAAATAATAAAATAACATTTATTGGCCCGTCCGATTTCTATGTATAGGTACTTATAATGTAATAGGTATTATTATCATTTACGTGTATACATTTTGTACATCACGTTCCGCCGTCGCGTTCATATTTTACTTTTCTTCACATACCGAAACTATTCAAAACAAAAAGCCAATGTTTTGATTATGGAAAAAATAAAACAAAAATATTTCACTATCTCACGAGTACTGTATTTACTGTGTTATGTACCTATAGTATTATATTAAAATACGGAACTATAATAGCATAACATGTTTGATAACAAAGTTTTAACGAGCTACCAATTTTATTGTTACCACTACCGTAACGGTTCATGAAATACTACTAAAATAATATTGAGATAGATCATGTTTACCGAGTGTGAATAATATCATCGAACATTATAAATAACATTTTCGCATTTTAAAGCAGAAAATATTGTGAATTTTTATCTTGTACGGATATAAGCAGACATTTTTAATAATTTTAGAGGGAATTGATATTTTAAATATGATTTATTGTATATCTATGCCGTTTTCTGCGCATGCAAAAATCATCTCATCTTAAACATCATGAAAAACTTAAGTATGATTTATTTTAGTTGACATCCTGTATTAGCCATACCATAAAATGCATGGTTACTGGTTAGGTTAGGTTAGTTTAGGTCACGAGTAGGTAATATGTGTAAGTATTAAAACAGCATTTTTGAATTATTACTTTAAAGATAAGATTTAAGAATGATAGATGGCTGAACAGTTGATTAATTACCAAAATAATTTAAACAACATAAATTAGTTTAAATGAAAGTTATATTATTATAATATAACTTTCATTATATTACATTGTATTACCTATCTATGGTACATGTTATCAAGTTGGCTCATCCTATTTCAAGCCAACAATAGACCGGCAGACAGCTAGATAGACTCTTTATTTTAAGTTGTTATTGTTGTTATGACATATTTATTTTTATTCATTTTTAATTTTATGTTTTAAATTGTTTTTGTATTTTATCCGTGTAGCTAAAGTGTCCAATAATTTAACAGAAACAATTCAATTTTCATACCAAAAATACCTAAGCATCTTTCATCCCCTTTTTATAAGTTGGACTTAATCACACACGTTGAGCATTTTTTTTTATCAAAATCGGTTGAATAGTTTCAGAATGATTTTTTTTAGAATTATGCATGATTTTTGTAGATGTAATTTGCTTGAAACTTTTATTAATTTATTTTGGAAATAATCCTGTGTTGTTTTGTTGTGTTTTTTTCTTAGAATTATTGGTAAAGTTGAAACTAGTAAGTGCAGGTATAACATAAGTATGTGATATACCTGACATATATGATAACACCACGGTGTACACAGTACATCATTGAGATAAAGAATATATTATTAATATTAAATATACTGATTGCTAGACCAACCGATCGGTGTCTTTCCATACGCAATCGATTAGAACACCATCGTTATCATTTTGTTGTTAACGTCCAAAATATATCATATCTAATATAGAATATAGATAATAGATAGTAAAAAAATAAATTTTCGTACAAGCGTGACGATCATTATATAAATGTAAACAAGTTTTGGAAATACTGATAATTATATTTAAGTTTTCTATGTGTTTTAATTACAAATTTTTAAACTTAACATGTTAGGTTATTTAACCATAATCATGATTGCTGGACAGCGGACGGTTAAACTTGTTTGCACTATTGTCTATTATTGAAAATAGTTTTTCTCGTATAAGTGGAGTGATCATTCTATGCCAAAAAAAGTAAATATATATATATACTAAGTTATATTTTAAAGAACTGATAATTTTATTGTAGACATTTATTATTAGTGTTGTTCAATTTGTATAATTGTCTTTAGGTTTACGATAAGGTCTATTTACGCATTCATAATAAACATGCTCTTAAATTAAAAATGGTCCATGAAATTAATTGGCAACTCCTCATGTTCAAGTGATAACCTGTACTTACAACTTTCCCTTGTAAATATGTTTTATAGGCAATAGTTTATATTTTAAAATAAAATGAGCTGTTATTTACAAATATATACTTTTATTATAAATTACATTAATATTTTACTGATTTTAATTTCAACAAAACTAAAACGGTAAATAAATTTATTGAAAACGATTTAAAACTCTTTGGTCCCCTTAGAATGGAAGTTTATTAATTGCATATGATTTATCTAAACATTTTTCAAGAAAACTAAAATGTTTAATGTTGTCAATAAAAATAATTAAAAAATGATTTAAACGTTTTAATAAAATCTATTTTTGTTACCTATATTTTGGATGATAACAACAAAATGATGATAGTGCTCTAATCGACTGCGGATAGACAGACCCAACCGATAGTTGTGAAAATAGGAATGACAATGTTGACAACGCGAAAATGCTGGAAGATATGCAAAATATAATCATGGTTATAAATTATATAGCTATCTGTAATTGATGAATGATTACAACATAACCTTATGTGTTTTATTATATGTTCAATTCTGTTATCTTTTATCAAAACAAATCAACAAAACAATGGAATAGTATTATATGTTCATAGAAATGAAGTTCAATTTCAGTAGGTACTTCTGATACATCGTTATGTACCCCCGTAATTACGTCAGAGGATATGTGTATGAGCATTTTACAATATTATTAATTTATTATAATATACTCGTATAAAAAAAATATATAATTTTTTAATTCTATAGGACGATACCATACATAAAAATGATTGATTACTGTTTTCTTCAACTAAATAGGTAGGTATTCCAATTAACCTTTCAATCTGGACGTGCGTAACTCATCTCAGCTTCGGTTTTTATAGATTCAACTACACGGTTTTATAATAAGAATTAATCAGAAAATGAATATAATATCTTCGTGTATACCCAAGAGTAAGCAGAGGTGTATTAATAAAAAATCTATAGGTTATACACTCATTTATGCATTTAAGCAACGATTTAAAAGCGAAAAAATAATTAAATTCAATCGTTCAAAAACTCGTAAGCGAAGCGATTGCAAAAAAACTATTTTACAAAACTTACATAGTACATTCACGAATTCTCAAACTTAAAAAAAAAAATATTTTTTCGTTACTCAGTGTTGTCCATTTTAGATTCTGAGCGAAGCAAGGACTGTATTGGTTTTACAATGATGTTTATTTTTTTTCTTATAGTGAGTACAAAATTTCTACTGGAGTTCTGACTCCAATGTATGAAGTGTAGGGCCTTTTATAAAAGGAAATTTTACCTAGTTGGTACATTAAGAAGGTCGTTTTCTTAATTATCCAGTGAAGTTTTCTTAATAGTTGGGAAACATCGGGAAAAAACGTAAGAAAAACAAAAGGATAA